AGACACAACAGCATAGTAATGATAGATGACAGGAAGGTAAGGAGATATAATATGCTAAGGTCATATCAAGCCTGCAAAGAAAGGGCCAGGATTAAAAGGAAAGAGCACTGGGTGCAGATAGAGAGGGAGGTAAGTCGAATGCTGGAGGCACAACCATGCTACCCAAGAGCCGCTTGAAAAATCAAGAGAGAAAATGACCATAAAGATGGCAGGAACCCAAGTCACAGAGGAGAGGCAATGGGAGAGGAAAGGTCAAAAAATCAGTGATTTCCAATGGCTGGCGGGAGAGAGAAGGAATAGACACACACTGAAAGGACGGAAGGAGAAGAAAGAAAGGAGATTGGGTAAAATCATCACGGAAATGTGGTGGGAGAAGACATGGACGAGATTGGAAATTTTCAGAGATAGGGGGGTACGTGAAGGGGAGAAACTGACCGATCAAGCTGAATTCTCAGGACAGAAACATTGAGAAACAGGCTCCTCCAGGAGAATCCAAGGTTAAAAACTCAGAAGAGTACAAGAAGGTGTTCCCTAGACAGATACAGATCACAAACAGAGAGACAGCACTGAGGAGAGGACAAAAAAGCGAAAGAGATAGAAAGAAACAAGGATGGAACCATCAAGAGGTCATTCAGAGCATAACAGAGAAGCAAGGGCAAGCACAACACACAACTATCCTCAGAACCCCCCAACCTATCACACACCATCCCACACACATACGAATCCATACCCACAGCTTCCACCCAAACCCGCCTATCAGAGAATCCCACAGTAGCTATCCCAGTCTCCCACCCCCACAGGCCCCCCAAACCACAGTATTGGTAAAGGAAACTGAAGTAATGGAACACAAACGCTGATAGACTATGCAAACAAGTGGGAGGAGTGGCACGAAAGAGACAAAGAGACATCAACCGTACATCATAGCGCTCACAGAAACCAAGCTTACAGGTAATGATAACAAGATGCCACTTTCCAACGGAATACCAGATCAGTAGGAAAGACAGAAGGAACAGTGTGGTAAGGTTATGGCACTGCAGATCAAACCTACCAGAAGGAATTTTGATGAGCTGGAGAGAGAGACAGCGGAGAAGACAGTGACTACATAGCGGGAACGCTTCACTCTGGAGGTCCCCATGGTGTATTGCAGTGATTATAACCCACCACAGAACAGCAATAGACCAGGGCATGAGTATGACGAGATCAATAGAGCGATGGTTGACAACACTGGCTGCAGTGGCCAGAAAGAGCTCATGCATGCTGGGCAAAAGCCCATGGGTCCATAGGCGACTTTAAAACCACAAGGAGATCGGCTGGGAGAACTTGATCCACATGGGGGCCAATACACATAGATGGCAAAGAAGAAGGAGGTGGTACTGGAAAACTAAATGTAACAACACGTTAAGAATGGGTGATCTACAAAGAGAGAGGAGAGGATGAGCCAATCAGACAGGACTTAGTTATTCACCTTGAGCAGTGCAAGATTAGGACATCACACAAGAAAGAGACCCATTGGGGCCAGCGATCATGTGGGTTTTGAGCTTCCGAATACACAGTAGAGCTACAAGGGTGAGGGGACGCAGGAAGGGCCCAGACAAATGAACACCAAACTACGAGGAAAGGGGACTACACAGAATGAGTGAACTTCCTGAACGAGGTTCAGTGGACAGAGAACTGTCATGGAAGCCAGTTAAAGAGATGAAGGAATATGTAGCAACAATGTGCAAGGAGGCTGAGGAAGGTTGTACCCAAGGGAAATAGGAAAATGAAAAATCCAGGATAAGCCCATGGTTCAACTCCAATGGTGCAAGGAGATCAAAAACCAATTGTTCTAGGAAATGGAAGAAATATAGAAGGCAAAGACCACCACGACGAATATGAAAACGACATAGCAGCGAAAGCAAATCTGACCCGAAGCGTTATAACAGCCACATCAGAGGAAAACAACCAGTCAAGGACCAGGTAATCAGCAAGGAAGGAAGGAGGGAGAGGACAACAGAAATGACCGTGAAGAATGTGAGAACTCAACAAGAAAATCCAAAGAAGTGTTTACAGAGGAGACGAAATGGGCTCCAGAGGGACGGAGAGGTGTGGCAACATCAACAGGTGCTGGACACGGTACACACAACCGAGGAAGAAGTGAAGATGCTTCTGAGTGAGCTAGATACCTCAAAGGCAATGGGCCAGATAACATCTCACCATGGGCCGCTGAGAGAGGGAGCAGAAGGTCATGTGGTAACCCCTAACAAACAATATTCCATACAACTATCTAAACAGGGAGAGTGCCTGAGCATGGAAGTCAGCAAATGTATCACAATCTTAAAAAAAGGAGACAGACATGAAGCACTAAACTACAGACCAGTTGTCACTGACATGTATTGATATGCAAGGTCATGAGAAGATTATCATGAGAAGAGTGGAGGAACACCTAGAAAGGAATGAACTCATCAAAAGCACCCAACGTGGTTTCAGGGGACGGAAAATCCGTAACACAACCTGCTGGAGTTCTATGACAAGGTTACAGCATAAGACAAGGATAGAGGGGTGGGTGGATTGCATTTCTTGACTGCAAGGAAGCATTTGACACAGTACTCCACCAAGAGATTAGTGCAAAAACTGGAGGACCAAGCAGGGAATAACAGGGAAGGCACTACAATGGATCAGGGAATATTTGTCAGGAAGACCAGCAGCGAGTAATGGTACGTGGCGAGGTGTCGAGGGTGGGCATCTGGGACCAGCGGGGTCCCACAGGGGGTCAGTCCTAGGACCAGTATGTTTCTGGTATTTATTGAACGACATGAGAAGGAATAAACTCTGAGGTGTCCCTGTTTGCAGATGACGTGTAAGATGAATAGAAGAATTCATTCGATCGTAGACCAGGCAGAACTACAAAGGGATCGGAACAGGCTGCAGACCTGGTCCAGCTATTGGCTCCTGGAGTTCAATCCCACCAGTGCAAAGTCAAGAAGATATGGTGAAGACAAAGAAAACTGCAGACGGAGTAACAGTCTAGGGTGCCAGAGACTACAAACCTCACTCAAGGAAAAAGATCTTGGGGTGAGTATAACACCAGGCATATCTCCTGAAGCGCATATCCAACCAAATACGCTGCACAATAATGGTCGCCGCAAACCTCAGAACAGCATTCCGAATCTTATTAAAGGAGTCGTTCAAGGACCCGTACAACCCGTGAACATTAGGCCCAATATTGGAGTATGCGCACCAGATTTTGGAACCCACGACCAGCCCAAGCATGTAAAGAAACTAGAGAAAGTGCAAAGGTTTGCCACAAGACTAGTCCCAGAGCTAAGAGGAGGTTAAGGGAAATCAACATGACGACACTGGAGGGCAGGAGAGATAGGGGGACATGATAACGACTTGCAAAATACTGAGAGGAATTGACAAGGTGGACAAAGACAGGATGTTCCAGAGACTGGACACAGCAACAAGGGGACACAGTTGAAGAAGCGTGAAGACAAGAATGAAACCAGGGATGTTAGGAATATTTCTTCCAGCCCACAGAGTAGTGCAGGAAGAGAAATAGTTTGGGAAGAGATGTAGTGGATGCAGGATCCATAACATAGCTTTAAGCAGAGGTACGAAAAAGCTTCATGGTTTCGGGAGAGTGACTAGTGGCGAGACCAGGCGAAGAGGAGAGGCCAGGAGCTTGACCTCGGCCCGCAGCAACCTCAACTATGTGAGTAACACACACCACAACCCACAACACACACACACACACACACACAACACACACACACAACACACACACTGATCACACGTACACTTTTCTTCTTTCAATGGACCAGCTGTATCCCACTGAGGTGGGGTGGACCAAAATGAAAAACCTAAGTTTCTCCTTTTAAATTAAGTAATAATTTAAACATAACAGTAGAAGGGGTTACTAGCTCCTTGCTCCTGGCATTTTAATCACTTCTTACGATACATATGGCTTACAGAGGAAGAATTCTGTTCCACTTCCCCATGGAGATAAGAGGAAATAAACAAGAACAAGTAAGAAAAATAGAAGAAAACCCGTAAGGGTGTGTATACGTATATATGCTTGTACATGCATGCATAATGTGACCTAAATATAAGTAGAAGTAGCAAGACATACCTGAAATCTTGCATGTTTATGAGACAGAAAAAGACACCAGCAATTCTACCATCATGTAAAACAATTACAGGCTTTCATTTTACACTCACTTGACTGGACAGCAGTACCTTCCTGGGTGGTTGCTGTCTACCAACGTACTACCTAGGAAACACACCACACACACACACACCACACACACACACACACACACACACACACACACCACACACACACACAACACACACACACACACACACACACACACACACACATTCTAAATACCATTATATACAACACGAAACTCTTAGCAACAGAGAAGGGTGTTTCCTTTTCATGTAACTGTTGGAGGTTTGGAGCAGCAACATCTGAGCCCTAAATAAAATTTATTTTAACAGCACATGGTATTATACAATAAAATCTATTATATCAAATATTATACAATAACAGTAACAGAAAGTAATTTTGAATAATCCCTATCCAAGTAATTTTTTTTTTCAAAGAAATGACTCGTTAAACTCTAAACTTAAAACAAAAAAACCAGCTGGGAGCAGCATCCCAGCAAGGTCCAGTAAACTTCTCATATCCGAATGAGTGGCCCCCCTGGCTTACTGATTTTCGAATATTAATTTACAAGGAGGCTTTACTGGTGTATTTGATGATGATGAAGGGCTTTGGCATCCAAAGACAGGATCATCTCTACTGCATTAATTTTCAATTGTTATGAATAAAGGATGAGATATATTATGTTTCATTTTCACCTGTCGTATTATTCACTGTTTGGAGGGGGTTGAACGGAATTTTCACATAGCGTACTTGGAACACGAAACGTGTGTATAAAAATTTTTGACAAGTGACTTCCATCCTCTTCATTTTTAGCACTGAGGTCTGGGAAGCTCTTATCCAGTCATACTTTTGTGTGCCTTCTGGTATGTACAGGGAGCTGGGGGGCCGCTTCGAGACTGAGATGAAAATGGTTTGCAAGAAAGTGAACCGACAAGATTATTTTCTTTTAATGTTTGAAGAATTCTTGATCTAAAATTACTTCCCCTTACAACGTCACCATTAGTTGCACTATTTGATTTGTTTTTGTTAATCTCAACCTGTTTACATGTATTGGAGATCAAGCTCTGCGTGAATTCTGAGTCTGGTGGAGTACTCGTCACACATGATTTTTTGTTAACCTTGTGTTCAATATCATCATCAAATAGATCATCAAATTCAAAACTGTTATCTGCTGCAATTTTTTCCATATATCCACATTTTTGGGAGATAAATTTTAGGGTTGTTTTTTCCTTTTGTTTATCATTACTGTCGACTCTATTTTCACTTACATTATTTTTTACCCCACATGAATTTCCTGAAGCATTCCTCAATGGAAAATTGCTTTTTATTCCATCACTATAATTATCTTGAAAACAAGGAGTTGACTCACTGTGTGATGCACTGCTGGAATCAGTAAACCTAACTACTTCTTGCAAAAATAACTGAAAAAGAGAAACAAAAAATATCTTAAGTCTTATCAGGATTTTACTGCCACAACACAGTATTTTAATTTCTATGCTCCTTATTCTTTGCCTAATATTCACTCAAGTGTCGAAGCTTAAATGAAGCTTAACTTATGACCTAATCACTTTTTTTGTGCATAATATAGTTATTGTAGGAATTGAAATTTTGTAAAAAAAAAAAAAAAAAAAAATAATATAGAAATTCATCTTAAACAAATATTATTCTTTAACCCAAAATTTGAAATACAAATATATATGTTATTTGTATATTTGAGCATTGTTTAATAAATCTTGAGTATACATTATTTTTATTGTCTTTAATAGTACATATAGTTTGTCCCTACATCAAAATCTTGCAGGGACCCTGATGGAAGTAAGTCACATTATTTGGCTATCTTAGCTAAATCTACATAATGTACATTCTTTGTACCCATAACATCTGTGGCCCTCAAGATTCAAGTCAGTGGCTAGTAAAACTGGTATACCTGGAGAAGTTTACCTGGAGAGAGTTCCGGTGGTCCAACCCCCCGGCTGTCCCTGTCCCTGAGATCCATGCCTCCTGGAGGAGTCGGAGAAGCCTGATCAACAGGGCTGTTGCTGCTGCTGGCTGCACGCAACCAACATACGAGCCACAGCCCGCGTGATCCGGAACTGACTTTAGGTGCTTGTCCAGTGCCAGCTTGAAGACTGCCAGGGTCTGTTTAGGTAATCCCCCTAATGTTGCTGGGAGCAGTTGAAACATTCTCGGGCCCCTGAACACTTATTGTATGGTCTCTTAAAACGATGCTAGTGAGCACCCCTGCTTTTCATTGGGGGATGGTGTCAATCGTCCTGCAAGTCTTTTGCTTTCGTAGGGGGTGATTTTCGTGGTGCAAGATCGTGTACAAGTTTCCCTCCTAAGGATTTTCCGGTGAATAAATCATGTAACTCTCCCTCCTGCATTCCAGGAATACAGTTTAGGAACCTCAAGCGCTCCAATAACTGAGTGTTTTTATCTCCGTTATGCGCTCCGTGAAAGAATCCTGTACATTTTCTAGTCGGCAATTTCACCAGCCTTGAAAGGTGCTGTTATTGTGTGCAGCAATTTCCATCGCTAGATAGAACAATTGACCTGAAGATGTCATCATGGGATTCTTGGCCTCCCCTATTTAGAAGGTTCTCATTCTCATCCTGTCATTTTTCTAGCCGATGCGATTGATACAATGTTATGGTCCTTGAAGGTAGATCCTCCGACATGAGTCACTCCCAGGTCTTTGACGTTGGTGTTGTTCGCTCTAATTTGTGGCCAGATTTGGTTTGGTACCTGATAAGAATTAATTTCCTCATTGTTACCATATCTAGTAATTGAAAATTTCTATCGTTGACTTCATATTGTTTTCTGTCAGCCCACTGAAAAGATTTGGTTGATGATCCTGCCTGGACTTGCAGTGTTCCTGCATGGAAGACACTGTACATGCAGATTCGGGTGTCAATCTGCAAAGGAAGACACGGTGCAGTGGCTGACATCCTTGTCTAGTCGATATAAGGATGAGGTAACAAGATGGGATCAATAACTTGTGCCTTGTGGAACAGTAGCTTTTCAACCGTAGCTGCCTCAACGTATTCCTCAGTTGACGACTACTTCTCTGTGTTCTGTTAGTGAGGAATTAAAGGATCCATCGACCGACTTTTCCTGTTTATTCCTTTAGACGCATTTTTGGTGCGCTATTACGCCAAGGTCACACACTTGTCGAAGGCTTTTTGAGCAAAGGTCTGTATAATATTTACATCTGCATTCTATTTTGGTCTTCTAGTGCATTTAGGACCTTGTCGTAGTGGCCAATAGATTGAGACAGACAGGAGCGACACTGTTCTAAACCCATTTGCCCTGTGTTGGTAACAGAAGGGTTTTAGATGCGTGGTGAATCTTGCTTCTTAGACCCTATCAAAGATTTTTATGAATATGGTATGATAGTGCTATTGGACTGAAGTTCTTTGCTGTTGGCTTACTGCCCCCCTTTGTGGATGGGCTATGTCTGTTGTTTTTAGTAACTGTGGGAACATGACCCCCGTGTCCAATGCTCCTCTCCATAGGATGGAAAAGGCTCGTGAAAAGGGGCTTCTTGCAGTTCTTGATGAACACAGAGTTTCCCGCATTACACAACCCTGGGCAAACATGGGTTTAGAACAGTCACCCTGTCTGTCTCAACATATTTGGATCACTACGACAAGGTCCAAATGCACTAGAAGATTAAAAGAATGTAGGTGGGAAGATAAAAAGAATGCAGATTTAATATATAAAAGACTTTCCAAAAGCCTTCGACAAGTGTGACCATTGGGTAATAGCGCTCAAAATGCTGCTAAGGGATAACAGGAAAAGTCGGTCGATGGATCTATAATTTCCTCACTAACAGAGAGAGAGTCCTGACCACTGCACCGTGTCTTCCTTTGGCAGATGACACACCTAATCGCATGACAGTGTCTTCCATTGCAGACACTGCAAGGAGACTCCAGGCGACAATCAACCGAATCTTTCAGTGGGCGCAGGAAACAATATGAAGTTCACAAATGATGATAAATTTTTCAATTACTCAGATATGGTTAAACAACACGAAGGAAATTAAATCTTCTATCAGAGTAACAAAACAAATTCGAGGCCACAAAAATAGAGCTAAACAACCCAACGTCAAAGACCTGGAGTGAACATGTCGGGATCTCACCTTCAAGGACCATAACATTGTATCAATCGCATCCAGCTAGAAAAAAATGACAGGATGATAATGGATAACTTCAAACTAGGGAGGCCAAGCCTCATGATGACACACTTCAGGTCACTTGTTCAATCTTAGCTGGAATAATTTCTGTACACTAACAGCACCTTTCAAGGCAGGTTGAAATTGCTGACTCTAGAAAATTTACAGAGAACCTTCACGGCGCGCATAACGAGATAAAACACCTAATACTGGGAGCGCTTGAGGTTTTCCCTAAACCAGTAATTCCCTGGAACGGCAGATGGAGAGATACATGATTAAAACACCTGGAATAATCCCTAGAGGGACAGTACCGAACTTGCCCACAAAAATCACTCATCTACGAAAGCAAAAGAACTTGGGGCAGAACGATGCACACCATCCCCCAATGAAAAGCAGGGTGGCACTAGCACGTTAGAGACCATACAATAAGTGTCCAGGGGGCCCGAGGACTGTTCAACTGCCTCCACAGCATACATAAGGGGGATTACCACCAGACCCTGGCAGTCTTCAAGCTGGCACTGGGACAGAGCACCTAAAGACGGTCCTGACAAGCCGGGCTGTGGGCTCTTGACGTTGTGTTTGTGTGCAGCAAGCAGCAACAGCCCTGGTTATCAGGCTCTGATCCACCACCAGGAAGGCCTGGTCACAGACCGGGCCGCGGGGGCGTTGACCCCCGGAACTCTCTCCAGGTAAACTCCAGGAGCTGAGAAATCTGAAACAGCCTAGAGACAAAGATAATACAGAAGTAGCATCAGCAATGTTTACATCATACTCAGACAAAGGTCTGAAGGGAGCATGGAAGCTAAACTGTATGCAGAGATCCTGTCAAACCCACATGGGGCCAAAACAAAGACAGGGAGCACACTAGGACAGAATGAGAGGTTGGACGACACTGAAGGAACTAGGACTTGTGCAGGGACCTTACCAGACACTTGTGGGGGCCAAGAACAGGTGATAAGGAAGGACAAACCCATGACAATAGGGGCACAGCTAGGGAAGGGACGAAGTAAGAAACACACCCATGGAAAGAACTACAACACCTGCAGAGGATGCAACGAGGCCAGTGGGAGGTGGTAAGGGAGAGATCAGTTTTTTTTGTCTATGGGCTAGACGAAGCTGAAGGGGAAACTTATGATGAAAGAAAGCATAGGAGAAAAAGCGATTGATGGTATCATGAAGGTTGAAAGCGAGGGAGACTGATCCAGGTGCAAATATTCAGGAGAATCGGGTGTTCACAAAGAAAAGGAATCGCCCTCAAAGTAATTTTCACAAGCATGAATCAACCTCGAACCATGATCCTGCAGGAGAAAGCACGGCTGAGAGCAAACAGGAGAATCCTGATGTGTAACCTAGATCGAGAACAGAACACAGTAAGGAAAGGATGATACTGGAATGAGAGAATGCAAAAAACGAAAGAGAAATAAATGAAAAAGGAGAGTCAAAAAACCCAGGAACAGGTGGAAGGACACGCACACCCCACCCCAGAAACACCTTCAGAAGGACTCCAGCCACGACACCCCCAAGGCAAACTGAGCCAAACAAACCAAACCCAACACACACCGATCCCTCTGTTCCCACCCCCTGCACCAGGAACTCCTAACCCAACAAAGCAACCCCCAATGGAAGCGCTTCCTCCACCTCCACTTGGCAACCCCCCTCCCACAGGCCCCCACCAGGGCTCCTTCTCTCCCAACCCTCAGTATTCCCCCAGGAAGCCACAGTTACAGTATTAGAACAGAAGTTGAAGGTTTGTACACAAATGATTCTGATGGAATTAACGAATAAATATGAGGAATGGCAAGAAAGAATCAATGAGAAGTCCCCAGACATCATAGCAGTTACAGAAGCAAAACTCACGGAGACAATAACAGATGCAATCTTCCCACCAGGATACCAGATCATGAGGATAGAATAAAGGGGCAAGGGGGAGAAGGGGTTGCTCTCTCGGAAAAAAATGATGGAAATTCGAGAAATTGGGAGGCATAGACGAGACAGGAGAAAGGGACTACAATAGCAATTACACTTCAAACCTGGGAGCACAAGGTGGTCATTTGCAGTGATGTATAATCCACCACAGGAACTGCATGCGATCAAGAGAGGAATATTAAGCCGAGCAACAGAGCAATGGAGACACACTTGCTGAGGTAGTCAAGAAGATCTCACTCCAGCAGAGGCAAAGATTGGCTGGTTAATGGGGATTTCACCACAGGACATTGACTGGGAAAAACCTGGAGCCACAGGGGGCCCGAAACATGAGAGCCAAGATAATGATGTGTGCTGGAAAATCACTCTCATGCACCAGCATGTTAAGGACACTACCAAAAGCGGAGATGAACCAGCAAGAAAGGACCTTTGTTCACCCTATGGGCCGTTTCAGCCATTGAGGACATCCCCCCCACCAATTAAAATGAGATATCCCCTAGGAGCTAGTGACCACAGTGGTTCTGTGCTTTTGAATACATAGTAGAGTTAGCAGTCCCCAAAAACTGTGTGCAGAACCTCCCTCACTGCTGGCAGAATAAGCTCTTCCCCAATTTTATGAGGCTTACGAAGTCTAACAGTCAGCAATGAGATATTGTATGATGCATGCAAACTATTACTGGATCTATCACTTCAATATTAACCTTGACCTAAAATGCTTTCTTGATAGTTGTGACAGGATCCACAGGCATAACACCAGACACAAATATCTCTATGACATTTCCCGCGTCCGGCTAAACCTTTACAAAAATTCAATGTATTTCAAAGGACCTAAAATCTGGAACACCCTACCTGAAAACTCTAGAACTGCAGACACACTCATCACTCTCAAAACCACAGTTAGAAAACATCTTATCTCCCTGATACACCCCGACAACTAACTACATGATAACCACCTGGTGGTTCACAATTACACTCACTCACTGACTATAAACACAGAAATACTAATCTTAATCTTAAAATAATGAATCCTAACTAGTCATAAGTTTGCCTATGATACTCCAATATATACACTTTGTATTGTGCCAAAACAAAAGCATTCACATTGCTAAACTCACAAATTATAATGTAGTCACCTAGCCTTAATACCATAATCTGTAAGGATTTAATGTTAAGAATTAATCTAAGTCTGCCCAAAATGCCTAGCCATGCTAGGTGTCCTAGTGGCCCCCTCTGTAATTAGTATTTTATAATATGTAAACCACACAATATCCAAATCCTGTAAACCCCACATTGTAACCCTTATAGAGAATAAACTTGATTTGATTTGATTTGATTTGATTCACTTAAAGCAATCACTGTACTACATTAATAATCATATCCTCAGGCAAATAGTTACGTCAACCTTAGTGTTCAAATGATTCAATTTGAGCTTATCAATATATTATACAGCCTCTCCTCACTTAATGATGGAGTTGCATTCCTAAGATCACACTGGTAAATGAACTGGTCGCTAAGAAAGCAGCATACTATAATGGTAGTAGGTTTGTGTCAACCATCTTTGATATTGTTTTAATGGCATCTTTGCACCATTTATAACATTTTTATTATATTTTTAAATGCTTATACAGTAGTGCACTGTACATTGTAATAAACAGAATAGAGGAAATCAGCTCTAATATACATTATTTAGGTATGCAAACTGGTCAGAGTGCTGGTCGTAAGCCCGAGTCATCAGTAAATGAGTACGTCGCTAAGTGAGGAGAGGCTGTACTTTTAAGTTAGCTTTAAGTGAATCTTAATTTCAAGTTAGTCTTACATTTGTCTCAATTTGCCCAAAATGCATTACATTAATGCTCTCCCCTTGAAAGGAAATGAGGATCTGAAAGGTACTGCATTAGTGTCGGGGTAACAGGACATACACCAGCTTCCTCAGTTTAACCTTAACTAAATTAACCTAAGACCTAAGGTTTTAAAGACAGCCTCAGCAACTATTTACATAACCAGTTTTACTATCACTGACTTGATCTTGAGGGCTCACAGATGTTATGGGTACAAAGAATGTACATTATGTAGATTTAGCTAAGATAGCCAAATAATGTGACTTACTTCCATCAGGGTCCCTGCAAGATTTTGATGTAGGGACAAACTATATGTACTATTAAAGACAATAAAAATAATGTATACTCAAGATTTATTAAACAATGCTCAAATATACAAATAACATGTAACAGCACAGTATTGTATTTCAAATTCTGGGTTAAAAAATAGTATTTGTTGAAGATGAATTTTCATGTATTTTTTTTTTTTTTACAAAACTTCAATTCCTACAATAACTACATTATGCACAAAAAACGTGATTAGGTCATAAGTTGTTTCATTTATTTTAAATATAATGTGTTCATGCAAAATTATTTTTTTTAAATTTCTACAAAGATTATTACAGGCACATAAATGTGATACATTAGTTAGATGTTACCTAGAATAACCATCAAAGCTAAGTGCTCTAGCATGATTTAATAACAATGAGATAAAGATTTAGCCTAGAATTACCAAATATAAGCAAATACTGCACTATGATTTGTTTCCATTGAGGTGAAGATGGGAAGAGCTAAATTCAAAGGTCCATACAGTGCCTGGAAATGTGAAGTAACCAAATTTGGTCCGAGGGAGGAGAGAGGTAGATAATTTTCATTGGATTAAAAACCCTTCCCCAACATCTACGTCCTCCTTCCTAATGTAAACATAAAATAACCCAACCATAAAACAAACAAACAAACAGACATTGTTTATGATTTCCTTCTATTATTTACTCGGAGAGTTTTTAAAACAAACAAAAATTTTTTTGCGTTATTTTATTCCTTAAAGGGGATAAAAAGGATACCTACGTTGGAGATCCTGGGAATTTGTGTAATCTCTTTCCTTGGATCAAATTTCATCACCATCATCTCCAGGCACATACTATAATTTATAACTGGTTCTGAGATTAAATTACCTTACTAACAAATAATTCTTATGTTATAATGCTTTACTCACGGGATCTTCAAAACTGACGTCGTCTTCTGCATCAAACATGGTTAAAATTTCCCTCAAAAACTCGAGTGAATGTGATGACGTTGAGACGTACCGCCAGGGAGACCAGTGTCCATAATACATCACTTCTACACTCGAAACTCTGTTTTCTCACTGCAAACAGGCTTTATTGTTTGATTTTATTTAATGGGTTTAATTTGGTTTAAACCCAAAGTATGTATTTTTTTTTTTTTACCTAAAATAGAGATTAAAGTAAACTTCCTTTTATACATTACGGCACACAAAACAAATCGTATCTCTCGACAAGTGCCTTTGAAAAAAGATAACTAACACTAACTCGCCTTCCCGTATGTTTTTTCTATTTATTTATTTATTTATTTTTTATTTATTTATTTTATGTCTTTGCAAATATCATTGAGATTTTTTTTATTGAATTATCCGTTTAAAATTTTTGCAAAATTACATAATGTGTACCCAAAAACACTAGTTTTTCAAAAAATTTTAACTCAAGACTCACGAAATCGAATAAACCGTTTGCAAACAAACCCAACCCACGGCGGGATTTAACCCGAGCAGAGATCTCCAAAACTCCAGCCCGGCGCAGTGAGGGACTTGAGCTAGATTTTTCTCACGGCCACGCAGCTGGAATTCGCTGTAAAAAAACTTGCATTTTGGTCACAGTGGTGCCTAGCTAACCTTCCTATGGGTAGAAATAACCTAGTTGGACAATTTTGGAAAAATAAACACATATGCATTTAATTATCCCCTTTTTACAACGTTTTCGCCCACACAGCGGGGGTTTTTCAATCCCCAAAGAATTTTTAATTGGGGCTACTGGGCCAGGGCTAACGCGACGGTCCTGGGTTTTTTGGATCTGACCCCGGGTTCAAATCCCGCCCGGTAGGTTTAATTTAAACTAAGTTTTGAAGAACTTTTTTAAAAACCAAGATCAAATAAATGCTTTTGGGGTTTCAGGGGGTTTCCCTTAATTCCCCATTGGTAATCTCCATTTAATATTTCTGATTAAGTTTCCAAGTTTTAAAATTTTTTTTTTCTGATCTTTAATATGGTTTTCGGCATACATGTAACACATGTAGATTTAACCTAAAATAGTCAAACAATGCCCCGTGGCCTGGTGGTTAAAGCGAGAACTTTAGCCACCAGGTGTAACTTATGAGTTCATTACCTTTGTACCTTGTTCACCTATCAAAACTTTGGAGTCCAGTCCCTGGACCCATTATGTACCTCTGCAATCTTTTGACTACCACCCACAGGATGGGTATAGAGTGCATAATAAAGATATTAAACTGAAAATTTCACACGGTGAGTGTCCGGGTTCAATTCCCAGCAAGAGTAGAAACATTGGGCGTGTTTACACCGGTTGTCAATGTTCCCATCAGTAAAATGGGTGTGATGAATGGTTTGAAAAACCAATAAAATGAGTGCCTGGGAGTTAGTCGACTGGTGTGGGTAGCATCCTGGGACAAGGACCTAATTTGCCCGAAATGACAATAATCCTACACCAACTGAAAACATTTCTGGAGCAGAGGCACGGACATTGGCCTCTACTCCAGAACAAAAGATATTAGAGCCAGCAAATAAAGCCCCCTTAAATTCCACCAATATAACGATATTTGTCTTTGCAAACATACATGGTCTAAAGCTGTCAAAAAGCAACAAAATTCCTTACAACAAAAGACTGCTCACGGAATCAAATGCAATGTTTGCAGCTTTCACGGAGACCCATATAAAGGATCATTATGACAACGAAACATGGATCCCAGGTTATAACATATTCTGATGCGACAGAATAAACTGGCAATAAGGGAGGGGGGGGGTTGGCCTGTATGTCAGAGTCGCTCATTTACACATAACTACTGAACACCTCAAATGATGTAGTTGAAGTTTTGGCAGTAAAGACTGAAAACCAAAACCTTGTCATTGTGGTGGTATACAAGCCTCTAGATGCAACTTCCCAGCAATTCCAGGAGCAGCTTGTGAAAATTGACCACTGTCTAGAAAATCTTCCAATTCCTGCCCCAAACATCTTACTACTGGGAGATTTCAACTTGAGACACCTAAAATGTTTTAGCAGTGATCACTCCAGGAGGCAGCTCAGATGAAAATTCACACACACACAAACTATTAAATCTCTGCACCAAATTCACCTTAAACCAGCAAATAGTAGAGCCTACAAGACTAGAAAATACGCTGGACCTCATCTTCACTAACAACGACGATCTGATATGTAATATAACTGTATCAAAGACAATACACTCAGATCACAACATAATAGAGGTAGTACAGACATGTATGCACAGGGCTTCTGACCAGCAAAATGTGAGCAGTTATGTAGGTCTCTTCACGAAATTCAATTTCAATAACAAAAACATACAATGGGATCAAGTAAACAATGCCCTAAATGAAACAAGCTGGGAAGATATCCTAAACAACACTGATCCAAATATTTGCCTTAAAAATGAATTCTGTGGTTCTTGAGATCTGCTCAAGACACATTCCATTAAGAAAAAGAAAGAGAAGAAGTAAACTAGAAAGAGATGCTCCATATACAGAGGAAGGCGAAGAGTCACAGACCTGCTGAGTGGGACCAATATATCGGAAATGTGAAGTGAGACACTAGTCAAGGAAATTGCAAATATCGAACTTAAGCTGAAGGAATCTTACAGGAGACAAGAATCACAGGAAGAACTAAAAGCCATAAAGGAAATTAAAAAAAAAATCCAAAATACTTCTTCTCTTATGCTAAATCTAAGGGAAAAACAACATCCAGTATTGGGCCCCTGCTTAGGCGGGATGGGACATACACAGATGACAGCCAAGAAATGAGTGAGAAACTAAAGACTCAGTGTTCAGCGAGCCTCTGCCCAGACTAAGGGTTGATAACCCAAATGAATTCTTTATGAACGAAGCCCAAAATTTGGACATCCCAGAAATCTCGGATATTATCCTAACTCCACACGACTTTGAAGAGCAATCAATGACATACGCATGCATTCTGTCCCAGGCCCAGACTCAAGGAACTACGTGTTCATCAAGAACTGCAAAAAAGCCCCTATTGCGTGCCTTCAGCCTTTTATGGAGAGGGAGCATGGATACAGGGATCATCCCATACACACTAAAAACAAAAGACATAACCCCACTCCACAAAGGTGGCAGTAAAGCAATTGCAAAGAACTACAGACCGACAGCACTAACATCCCATATCATAAAAATCTTTGAGAGGGTTCTAAGAAGCAAGATCACCAACCACCTAGATACACAACCCAGGGCAACACGGGTTTAGAGCAGGTCGCTCCTGCCTGTCCCAGCTACTGGACCACTATGATAAGGTCCTGGATGCTGTAGAGGATAAACAAAATGCAGATGTAGTATACACAGACTTTGCAGAAGCTTTCGACAAGTGTGACCATGGTGTAATAGCACACAAAATGCGTGATAAAGGAATAACAGGAAAAGTTGGTAGATGCATCTATAACTTCCTGACAAATAGAACACAAAGAGTAATAGTAAACAGAGTAAAGTCCCAGGCAACCACAGTAAAAAGCTCTGTTCCACAAGGCACAGTACTCGCTCCCATTCTAATTCTCATCCTCATTTCTGACATATACAGAGATGTAAGTCATGGCTCAGCTCTGTGTTTTCCTTTGCGGATGACACCCGGATTACCATACCGCGAGACTCCCAAGTGGACATCAACCAAATCTTCGAATGGGCCACTCAAAACAATATGAAGTTCAACGAGGAGAAATTTCAACTACTCAGATATGGGAAACTTGAAAAAAATATAAATGTATCAGGGTATACGACAAATTCTAACCATACAATAGAGCGGAAAAGTAATGTGAAGGACCTGCAAGTGATAATGTCAGAGGACCTCGCCTTCAAAGACCACAACAATGTATCCACCTCATCTGCTAGGAAAATGGTAGGATGGATAATAAGAACCTTCAAAACTAGGGACGCCAAGCCCACGATGATTCTCTTCAAATCTATTGTGCTATCTAGGCTGGAATACTGCTGTACACTAACGGCCCCCTTCAAGGATGGCGACACTGCAGACCTGGAGAGTGTACAAAGAACTTTCACGGCACATACAAGCACGATAAGGTACCTAAATTACAGGGAACGGTTGAAGGTTCTTGAACTGTATTCCCTGGAATGCAGGCGAGAGAGATACATGATAATATACACCTGGAAGGTCCTGGAGGGATTGGTACCAAACCTGCACACGAAAATCACTCCCTATGGAAGCAAAAGACTCGGCAGGAGATACAACATTCTCCCAATGAAAAGCAGGGGCGCAAGGAGTATACTGAGAGACAACACAGTAAGTGTCCGGGGTCCAAGACTGTTCAACTGCCTCCCAGCCTACATAAGGGGGATTACCAATATACCCCTGGCTGTCTTCAGGAAGGCACTGGACAGGTACCTAAAGTTAGTACCTGACCAACCGGGCTGTGGTTTGTACATCAGCTTGTGTGCGGCCAGCAGTAACAACCTAGTTGATCAGACCCTGATCCACCGTGAGGCCTGGTCTTAGACCGAGCCGCGGGGGCGTTGACCCCCGAAACTCTCTCCAGGTAAACTCCAGGTAATACACCTGCATCCACACATTCACTCGTCTTGAAGTCGTCGGTGTAGAGATGGTGGTGAGTGAGGTATCTGACTAGTATTTTGCGGAAAAGCTGGTGAACCTCCTCCCGCACATACTGTTTTTTAGTTGGGAACCACGACGTGATTTTATACTTGGGTGACTCTCAAGGCGCTATGTTTTCTTTCACCAGTTTATCAACCTCACGAAGGACGATGCCAGATGCTTGACAGAGAGATTGGAGTATGACGGCCAGGGAAGCCTGTAGCGCCTGATGAAGAATTGTTGATATTGGCCAAGTATGTTATAGGCTGGGTGATGGATCGAAGATTTCCTAGCAGACTTGATGCCGTAGCGGAGGATCAGAAAATCACAGAGGTTGGGGGCAGACACACTTGCTTGCACCTCCAATCTCTTAATCTGGCTGCAGCCGAGGTCTCCAATACACAACTCCCCTCACTGCAGAGCCGGCCTCAGGAGGTGCGGGGCCCAATTTGGAACAATTTTGGTGGTCCCCATGTATGGAAAGCAATCAAACTGTGGGCTTAAAAAAATGCATGCGAGTTGATAGACCAAACAAAGTAAGCTACATTTTAATATAAAATTGCATACATGTAAGCCTACAAGTAACAAACAAAATTTGTATATCACCTCTGAAAAGTACATAGTCACAATACCACTTGC